CTGTCATTTGCAGGGGTTCTTCTTGCGCAGGAATACTTCAGATGCTTAAAGGGGGAGGGTTTGAGTCCTTGGGATTCGAGTGGAGGGTGTCATCCACGGACCCTACCAGAGATGCCATCGGCATCGCCACAGGATCTGGCCCCATGGGTATAAAAGGGAGCAGCTTCTCCCAGCACCTCAGACTACCTGCTTCCCAAGAGACCCATTCCAGTGCCTGAGCCAGGTACAGTGTGGCTCCTCCACCACAATCCACTCTTGGTGCTGGTGTCCTGGGCAAAAGAGGCTTCGGGTGGTGGTAGAGGGCAATTTTGAAGAAAGCCAAGAAGAGAGGATTTGGAAGGGAGGGAGGGTCTTTCTGGAAAAGAAAGGTGGGAGGTGGGGCAGAGAGGCGTGAAGGACTGAGATATTTTGTTTGTTTGTTTTTGATGTGGCATTCCTTTGAAAGCATGGAAGTCCCGAGGTTGAAATCATTTGTGTATTTTTTTTTTTTTTGAATAACTGGTCTTAGGAGACTCTGTTTTTAAAGCCTGATCATCCATGATGATTGCATTCGTAGTTCCATCTTTCATTGTAAGGAAGTTTCCTGGGATTCATTGAATGCCAAACTTCTCTATTATCTTTGCAGCTTTATTCAGCTCCTTCAGAGATGTCCTGCCAGCAAAGCCAGAAGCAGTGCCAGCCCCCTCCCAAGTGCACCCCTAAGTGTCCCCCTAAATGCCCACCCAAGTCCCCCTGCCCACCTCCAGCCTCTTCCTGCTGTAGCCTTGGCTCTGGAGGCTGCTGTGGCTCCAGCTCTGGGGGCTGCTGCAGCTCTGGGGGTGGTGGCTGCTGCAGCTCTGGGGGTGGCGGCTGCTGCCTGAGCCACCACAGGCCCCGCCGATCTCTCCGACGCAGACACCAGAGCTCTGGCTGCTGTGGTAGCAGTGGTGGCAGCAGCTGCTGTGGCAGTAGCGGTGGCAGCAGCGGTGGCAGCAGTGGCTGCTGTGGCAGCAGCGGTGGCAGCAGCTGCTGTGGCAGTAGCGGTGGCAGCAGCGGTGGCAGCAGTGGCTGCTGTGGTAGCAGCGGTGGCAGTAGCAAGAAGTCTGGAGGCTGCTGCTGACCTAAGCCATGAGGACCGCGGGGGAGCATTCCCCCAAAGACCTGTTTCTTCCCCCCCCCAACCTTCCTGCAGACCTGCATCTAAAATGCTTGGCATTTGCTCCTTCCTTCTGTCCACACTCATCTGCACCGTCTGGAGGTCTCCCCACAGACATTACCTGGCCTAGTTTCCCCTCTTGGACTCAGTTGTTTGGAGTATGAGGTGTTGAAATTCAGCTCTGAAGCGGATTCCTCTGTAACAATAAAAAGCTTTTTTCTTCCTAACATCACTGCCTCCTGGATTTTGTTCTGAGCCCCTCACCCACACTCCCGGAGCAAACACTCCCCACGCAAACACTGACACCTCAAACACCTGTTTGGGAATCATGTGTGAGCATGGGAAGTACTGAGACCTCTGGGAAATAATCTTCCCTTTAAAGCTCTGAGTTTGAGAAGGGAACCATCTTGTCTGAGACCCGTGTCTCCCACGCCCGCTCACAGGAGCAGGAATGGGTTGAGAAGAGGAGGCGAGTAATACCTGGAAAGATCCCATTCAGGGAGCCTCCTTCAAAAATGGGTTATGACCTAAGCAAAAAAATGGGTTATGACTTGGAAAAAAAAACCCAAAACAAAAAACTTAACCTCCCAAATCATCATAACAAGATTGCCTACCATGCTCTTTGTAGGATTTAATGCATAGGAATCTCATCCTTTCTGAGTATTATGGGTTAGCCAGAGCAGCAAGCTGGGGACAGGGACAATCTTTAGGGGAGTGGGTTTAGGCATCGTCTCCAGATGCTGAGATTTTAGTAGAGAACAAACACCTCCCCCCCCCCCCCCCCACCGTATTGTTGTTTTGTTGGGGACTTGGGTCACTGACTTTGGGTTTCTATGTAATAGTTCTTTAGGGATGGGGCTGGCTGTGTCTGGAGATACTTTAAAAAGTTTACAATAGGAAAGATGATTCGCCTCAGCCTTCTTGATACAAGATAAACAGCTGGCCTGCTCTTTGATAGCATCAGATAGATAAGGAACTTAGTGGGAGGAGAAGTGATCTTCCCAAATCTCTCCCTACATCCATTCCTATTGGCCCTTCTCCCTTTTCTCGCTGTTCTGTGTTGGAAGAGCATTGCAGTCTCCTAGAGGAGAACCTACGTTCACTGACCTTGTGACTTCATTGTTTTCTTCTCTTTTCTAATGTGGCCCTCGCTTCTTGGAACGTCTACACTTGCCAAGAGGAGCTCTAGGCACAGGGAACCTGTTCATCAGGCTCTGAGGCCATGCTAAAGGAAACGGATGCATCTTTATGACGGGCCTCCCTGGTCTGTTTCCTCATGCTGTCCCCGGCTCTAACCCTGAGCCTACTTCTCATCACTCACTCGTGGTCTTGAACTTCTTCTGTATCCTGGAATTCCTGGTTCTGGCTGGGCAATGGCATCAACATGAAACTGATTTCAGGCAGTAGACTTCCATTCTCCTCTTTTTTGTGTGTGCTACTTGGGTTCAAATTAAGGGTCTCTCATTCACTAGGCAGATGTGCTACCACTTGAGACATATCCTCATCTTATTTTGCCTTAATTATTTTCTGGATGGGGTCCCTTTCTCTCTTTTTACCTCAGACTATGATAACCCTACCTATACTTCCATGTAGTTGGAATTGTAGCTGGCTCTCCACCATACACAGCCTCTTTCCAATTCTTGAAAACTTAAAAACCAACAATTATGGATACTTGGGCCTTTGGAAGGGCTTCCTTCCTTCCTTCCTTCCTTCCTTCCTTCCTTCCTTTCTTTCTTTTCCTTCCTTCCTTCCTTAAGCCTTCCTTCCTTTCTTTCTTTCTTTTCTTTCATTCTTTCTTTCTCTCTCTCTCTCTCTCTCTCTTTCTTTCTTTCTTTCTTCCTTCCTTCCTTCCTTTCTTTCTTTTCCTTCCTTCCTTTCTTCCTTCCTTCCTTCCTTCCTTTCTTTCTTTCTTTCTTTCTTTCTTTCTTTCTTTCTTTCTTTCTTTCTTTCTTTCTTTCTTTCTTTCTTTCTTTCTTTCTTTCTTTCTTTTTTCTTCCTCTCCACTTCCCCTCCCTTCCCTCCCTCCCCTGCTCTCCTTTCCTCAGTAGTGGCCCCAGAAAAACCTGCCTTCAAATAAAGGTAGGATAGAATGTGGGATAAGAAGCAGAGTCTAGAGGCTGGCGTATCATTTTGCAATTGGACTCTAGCCCCATACACATATCTTTTCTATGTGTTAGGGTTTGTTACAGGAATAGGGTAGCCTGACTATATTCAAAACTTCCCCAATCTTCATCATCCCTTCACTGTGCCCGTTAAATCGACAGAGAGAAATCATCACTGAGATCCCCATAGATGCATCCCACGGTCACCTTCCCTCGGTTCCATCTGCAAGCGCCTGGACGGAACCCAGCGGGCCCCTCTGCAGCTTGAGCCGCAGAGCCCAGCATGGGCGCAGCGAGATGGAAATCGAGATAGCAAGGTCTATCTATGGAAGTAGATACTCACCTACTAGAATGGATGTGTAGGCAAGTGGAACCGTGTGTGTGAGAGAGAGCATGCACACACGTGTGTGTACATTGTAGCAAAAAGGACCCTGACATCGCCTCCCCCCCCAGATCCATGTCTCTCCTGAACACACAGCACAGCCCTCCCAGCCATGACCAGTGTCCTGTTTGGAAAGTAAACATGGCACGGCAATCCTGGCAGCTCTGTGGAGTGACTTGGGTGCCCACGTGCACCACCTCCAGTGCTCCCTGAGTGATGAATGTCTCTGGGATGTGCGTGTCAGCTGAGCGTGTGGATTGAGAAACCGGCCACTCCCCACAGCCCGGGCTTGATTGGAATCTTATAAAAGGCTCTTCTGGCAGGACTCCACTCAGTGCACCTAGCAGGTGGCCAGCTCCAGGTGGAGAACGGAGTGAGCAGAGTCTACCAGTGGGGCCAGGGTTTGGTAAGTGTCCAGTGGGACTTGGCAAAGATGATGGGAAGAGGTGAAGGCAGAGGGGCGGGGGAGGAAAGAACAGCAGAGCAGAGCCTTGGGGCAGGCTGGGCAAAGAGCACCTCCAGCTTAGCTGGGCCTTCCTGGCGGGGTGCTAGGGGTCTGGTGTGTGTGTGTGTGTGTGTGTGTGTGTGTGTGTGTGTGTGTGTGAGAGAGAGAGAGAGAGAGAGAGAGAGAGAGAGACAGAGAGAGACAGAGACAGACAGAGACAGAGACAGAGACAGACACACAAAGAGGGAGAGACAGACAGAGACAGAACTGCAAGATAACACCACACATCTGTAGCAGAGTGGTGTCTGGAACCCAGATCTTCCACTCCCGGATGGGGATAATGGTTTTCTCGCTATGTCTGGCCTTTTGGCTCCTTATCTTAAGGCTGTGGGGCCAGGAAGGAAGCGATGAAGGGCATGGACCTGCTGCTCCATTCATGGAATGTGTAGACAGGGAAGGGGAGCCGCTGGCACACACACTCACTCACACTCACACACTCACACACACACTCACACTCACACACACACAGAGCTGAGGTGTTTGGTGACAGGTGGGCAGTCTGCAGCGGGTTAGCTGGCATTTGACTGTCACTTGAAGGGCTCTGGGACGGGGCGGATGCGTCGCCAGCTTTCTTCTCTTGGGTGGACCCCGATTCTAGGGAGCGAGGCTGGAATCCCACTGGCTCATGGCACTGCTGTTTCCTGTGTCTCCGGGGAAGCCCTGCTGTTTGGGGATTGCTTCTGGGCTCCCTTTCTCCACCACCCAGCCCTCCCCTACCGCAGGCCGGGCTGCCTGACATGGGTGGGAGTGGAGGGGGGGGGGTCACACAGCCAAATTTCCAAAGATCGGGTTTCCAGGGGGGAAGGAAAGACCCGCTGGCTTCCAAAGGCTTATGCGTTCGTGTATCCTCCAGGTTCTCCGTGACAAGCTCCAGCCATGTCTCAGCAGTGTGCCAAAGGCTTTTCCAAGGGCTCTTCCCAGGGCCCCACTCCCTGCCCCGCGCCCGCGCCGGCGCCCTCCTCCTCCTCCTCCTCTTGCTGCCGAGGCTGCTGCAGCTCCAGCGGCGGCTGCTGCGGCTCCAGCGGCGGCTGCTGCGGTTCCAGCTCCACGGGCTGCTGCTGCTTCCCCCGGAGGCGCCGGCAGCGCCGCGGCTGCTGCTGCTGCGGAGGAGGCGGCAGCAGCCAGCGCTCCTGCAACAACCAGAGCTCGGGCTGCTGCTCCGGGGGCTGCTGAGCCCGCCGCCCGCCAGGGGGCGCCCGGGAGTCCAGGGCCCCCCAGGCCAGCGCCGCCCCGCCTGCGGCTCCCACCCCGGGGGTCTCTGCAACAACCCTTGCTCCCACGTGGACCAGAGCCTTGGACTCCCATCCTCATCACCCCCACCCCGCCCTCCAAGGCCAACTGCGCTCATGATGCTGCTCAGAAACCCAGAAACCCAGCTCCTCCCCACAAACTCCTTGGCTCCCCATGGGACTTGCCCAACCCCCTCCCCCACTTCTCCCAAAGGGATCCCAGAGTCCCCCCCCCCCCCCCATGTGTCATCTGCAGGGACTGGGCACAAGGAGGGGCTTGCTACCATGCTGGCTGACTTGATGGGCCTTGGAAGACATCCCAATAAAGCATCTACCTCCTGAGAACTTCTCTGCTCTTAGTGACTCCTTTATGGTGCGCTTATTATTCTTACTCCTAACCTTCCCACAAAGCAAAAGAGGAAACACCCCGCAGCACCCGCCTGCCGGCCTGCCAGAGAAAGCGGAGTTCTGATCAGGAGGACACAGGGGCGCCCACCAAGGTGGAGTTGTAGGTCCTCTAAGGCTGAGTGCAGCATTCTCGCGTGACTCACCCAGGTCCGGGACCATTTTACAGGAGAGAAACTGAGGCGAAGGAACTTAGTCACTCAGCCATGGAGCAGAACATCCAGACCGTTCTAGACGATTCCTGGGCTTGTGTCCTAACTGCTCTGCTCTGATTGCTGCTCCTCAGGCCTTTCTGAGCCTTGTCCCTGAGGCACCCGTCCCCCCCCCCCCCCTTCCACCAAGCCCAGGCAGGTGTGTGTGGCTGAGGTTTGAACTGGCAGCCCTTGGGGAATGTAGATTCAAAGCAGTAGGGTCCCACTTCTCTTTCTCTTTCTTCCTCTTCCTCTTCTCCTTGTCCTTCCTCTCCCTTTCCCTACCCTCTCCCTTTCCTTCCATCCCTCCCTCCCTCCTTCCTTCTCTTCCTGGTCCTCTTCTTTTTTCTTCCTCTTCCTTCTCCTCTTCTCCCTTTTGGCCATGGAGGATCAGGAGCACTGGCACTTGTGGGAGAGGAAATGTTTTCCAAGCTGAGCTTTGAAGGCTGCCTGGGAATGAACTGTCCACCCCAGGTCCCAGCCAGGCAGCTGGGGCATGACAGGAGCCCTCAGTGTCAGGGAGAGTCACATGCTGTGCTCAGAGATGTGAGCCTCTCATTCTCCAGCGCTGGTGGCTGTGGTAGAGGTGGCCCTGGGGTCAACCTGAGTAGGACAGGAGCTCAGCCCCATGGGCACAGATTTTACTGCTGGTTTGGGGCCAGCTGCCTCTGCGTGGTGTCTGCTGGGCTCAGAAGGGAAGAGAGCTTAATGGTGATAATCACAAGTCATAGTATAGCTGCCATTTAGTGGATGTTGACTTGGTTCCAGGTATGATATCTTTCTCTCTCTCTCTCTCTCTATATATATATATATGTGTGTATGTATGTATATTCTATCTATATGTAAGGCTATTTTTCTCACTTAATCCCTAGTAATCCTTCTGTTATTTCCTATTCTTAAAAATATGTGAGTAAACTGGAAGTCCGAGAGTTTCAGTGATTTGGCACCAAGTCACACAAGTCAAAGGCTCTTGATGGTGATGGCCGAGGCTTGAGGTGAGGTTCTATGCTATCACCCTCTGTGCGGGGCGGTAGGACATCTAGCCCTCTGGGCACACCCAGGATCTTGGAAAATTGCAGCTTGGCTTCTCTGTGGCTGCAGCATCGGTGACCCAATGACCGGTGAGCTCTGTCGGGGCCTCCACCCAGCAGCCAGTGGCCCCGGGGTCTTTGCTCAGAGGCAAAGTCATAAATGGCTCATTGATTCACCTTCACTATTTAAAGCTGGGTTTGAATGTCTCCGTGCTGGTGAGGCTGAGGGGCAGCCCACTCCCCAGAGGAGGGGAGGAGCCCTCTCTTCCATTTCTGAGACTCTGTGGTGCCCAGTAGGAGGTGATGGGTCAGTTGTTTACAAACAGATGACATCACTGCAGACACACACCCCTCACACCAGTGTTGCAGGTTTGACACATCAGGCCCCAGGACTTTGTAGACAGAGAGGCAGGAAGGGAGGATTGCCTGACTCAGAACAGACTGGAAAATCAATGTGTGAGAGAACAATGTGAGAGCAGGAAGCTAAGGGCAGAGATTTGGGAAAGAAAGATGGCGACTCACCACGAGCCTGAATAGGAGTACATGTCATGGTGCACAGACATCTCGGTGTTCACCAATTGGCTAACTATGAGGATGGTGCTACCAGCACACCTTGTGGTTCCAGCAGGTGCCGAGCAGGAAAGCTCATGGTTATGTGTTTAGGGGGCCTTCCCATTATTGTCTCCATTAAAGCCAGGAATCCTGGCTTCTTAGCATTCTGGTTTGCTAGTGGCATCAGTCAGATAATGATGAGCTTATTTCATTCAGTCTTCATAACTACCCACAAAACCAATGTTACAATCTTTTCTTGAAGAGGTGTTTGGGGAGGGAGGAGGGGAGAGTGTTGGAAGGAGTGATGATGATCAAGATGCAGGGTATTCACAAATCCTTTGTTGAATGACAACTCCTTTGTACAATGGCTTAGAAATGACTTCAAAAGAAAATTAACAGGACTGGGAAGGTGGCTTAGTGGTAGAGTGCTTGCCTTGCATGCATGAGGCCTTGGGTTCGATTCCTCAGTACCCCATAAGCAGAAAAAGCTGGAAGTGGAGCTATGGCTCAAGTGGCAGAGTGCTAGCCTTGAGCTGAAGAGCTGAGGGACAGCGCCCAGGCCCAGAGTTCAGGACTCATGACGAACAAAAAAAGAAAGGAAGAAAGAAAGAAAGAAAGAAAGAAAGAAAGAAAGAAAGGAAGGAAGGAAGGAAGGAAGGAAGGAAGGAAGGAAGGAAGAAAGGAAGGAAGAAAGAAAGGAAGGAAGAAAAATCTGAAACAAGGAGCTATTGGGTGGCCATCCTGAGATTGTACAGCTAGTGATTGGCAGAACAAGGTTTCAAACTTAAGTGTTTCTGACTTTGGTATCGCTATTCTGAACATGTTGATACTAAGGCCAGATATTGTATATTTCTGGGAAATGTATAATCCCAAATTTAGACAGTGGAGAAAGGGGATCCAAGATGGATAACCATGGGATTGGTTCTGAGTGTTGATTGAAGAAATGCAAACAGTATGGTATTCACGGGATAGGAACATAGCTCTGAAAGAAGGAGCTTAAAGAGATAGAAGTTGGTTTACATAAATGGGCAGCACTCTCTGATATGATCTTCAGATTAATTAGGCAGCAGTGACAAGAATGTTTTCCCATTGTATGAAGAGGATATTACTGTGGGCCCAGACAAGAACCCAGGTGGTGTGTGTGTGTGTGTATGTGTGTGTGTGTGTGTGTGTGTGTGTGTGTGTTTGGTGCCAGTGCTAGGGCTTGAATTCAGAGCCTGGGTGTGCTGTGCTTTAGCTTTTTCTCTCAAGGCTAATGCTCTACTACTTGAACCACAGCCCCACTTTGGGCTTATTGGTGATTAACTGAAGGTAAGAGTCACATGAACTTTCTTCCTTGGACAAGATCCTTGGATCTGAGCCTTGTGAGTAACTAGGATTACAGGTGTGAGCCACTGCTATGTGTCAATGGCTCCGGGTTAAAGTGGGGATCTGACCCTGGAAGATGGCAGCAGGTAAGAAAAGGAAATTACCAACACCAGAAGCATTTGTCTGGAAGGAGGAAGGAGAGAACTGGGTGCAGTTAGACTTGGGGCTGAGGAAGAGGAATCAACTGGAGTGTGTCTCAGAGGCTTTGGGCCTAGGGACTGGGAAATGATGCTATGGTGATAGCATTGACAGAAAAGCAGAGCTGTCACAAGAAAGAACTGGCGTGGGAAGGAAGAGGGCTAAGTTCTTGTCCAAGATGTGTTGGGTCTGAGCTGTTGGCAGAACATGGATGTCCAAGAGTCAGTGATCTGAGGTTGAACTCAGAGATGATTGCAGTTGAGATGGTTAAGTCCTGCAGTGGAGGGAGCCCAATCCTCGACTATAGATTCGGTCTTACTGCAAATGAAAATGAAGAGAAAACAGTTGGTCTTATCCATCACAGTATACTCTGTAGAAAGAACAGGACTTGAGAAGTCAGAGGCACTTAGTGAATAGGTGTTGGGTGAATGAATGAGTGAACGAACCAATGGACAAAACAGAAGCTTGTGTGGAGAGTGGAGGAAGCAACGAAGCAGTAAGAAAGAAGTTGAGTTCCACGCGAAGGGAGAAAGAAGGTGATGAAGTCGGAGAAGTTGCTCAGAGGTTTGGTCTAGAGAATTTGCAAGGCCACCGTCAAGCCTTTGGTTCTACAAATACAGGTGGGCGAGAACTCCGGGCAGGATGGGATCTCAGCAGGTAAAGAATTAAAGAATGTCCTCCAGTTGGGCGAAGCACAGGGGTGCCGGCTGCTCATCTTGGAATCTTTCCTACTTCGAACAGTGAAGAGTCCAAAATCCCATCTTGTGGACTAGCCCTTTCAACTTCATTGAACAATAAAATGAACAGGCAAACTGGCAATGCTAGTTAGTGAGAAAAACACGCTTTCTTCCGTGGGATGATGTTGCACCAAATCAGAGTAACTTGGCTCTGATAAATCTGTATAACGTTGATGTGCTTCAGGATGAGCCATTGTAGGCTGTGGTACAATTCATAAGTATCTCTTCTTTTTTTTTTAAATACTGAGTCAGGGTCAGAGGCTCCCCCCCCCTCCCGGCCCCTTTTTTTCTACCCATATTCAGTGTGATTACCTGAAGGTATCTGAATATCAAGAATTAATTTGCTTCTTGGACTCCATTTCCTTCAGGGGATTTTCTGTTGATTCATTGCCATAATGTGTTTTTCACCAACAATGTATGGAGCCATTACTATAGTCTGAGCACTATGTAATTCTAAAAAAGTGACTCGTCTCTGGTAGTTCAGTGGGAGACTTCATTATCATAAGACATCACACTGAGATC